GGACAGCAAGAACACACAGAAAAACCAAAACCTGTCTCAAAACACACACACACACACACACACACACACACACACACACGGGGGGGGGGGAGGGAGAGAGAGAGAGTAGAACTAGGTGGGCAAGACAGCTCAGTGGGTGAAACACTTGCTGTGCAAGTCTGAGTTCAATACCCCAAACCACAGTAGAATGATGTACCACATGGCACAATCCCATGGCTGACAGTTGTGACAGTCTATTTATTGGCCATGAGCACCCAGATCGAGGTAGAAATAGAAAGAAGCTGTACAGCCATTTCTGACTTGTTAGACTTTACTTAGCTTCAGAATGGCCCCTGCCTTTCATGAGACTAGGGAAGAGCAAAGAACTTGTGGGTGTATTACAGTTGTTCCATACCCCATCTCGGGTTTCCCCACAGCATTTAGGTCATTCCTCCTCCAAGGCCACCATTTTCTAAGAAGGTTATGCCCACTCCTGGACTCATTGGGTCCTTTAGTTTGTGGTTAGGAGTGCCTTCTTCTAATACCCCTGAGATGGACTCATCAGTTCCCACCTCTCTAGCTTTCTACTGCAGGGACCTGTGTTCTAATCTAGGCTCTGCTATTGCACTTGGGAAAACAACTTCACCTCTCCGGGCCTTTGTTTCTTCATGTGCAAAGGAGGACGTAGTGATATCCTCTCTTGGTGTTTAGGGCTGGAAGCTGTGATGTAAATAGCTCATCTGGAACACCTGGCCAATAGGAAGAGTTCCTGTTTAGAAGAAATGAACCCAAGCTGCTTTCTCTCTGGGAAGCTAATTTTTTTTTTTTTTTAAATCTCTGAAACAGGCATACTAAATCTCCTATTCTGCCTCCCTATGGGATGGCATAGGTTTTAAAGGGACTGCAGGTAGGGCTACACCAGAGGACAAACTGACTTGGCTAGGAAGCCACACACCTCCCCACCCCCAGTCTGCCGATCCTGAGTAGCTGTGTGCGTGCCTGTGTGCCTGTACGTGTGTGTGAGGCAGAGGGTGTGGCTCAAGGCAGTGGAGCACACTCTGGGCGGGCTGCTATCTACTCAAAGAGGCTTTATCAGATTCGGGCTGGCCAGGTTCAACCTGGGAAACAAAGAGGCTTTGAGAAGCTCTCTGGGGTGTGGGATGTGGGGCTGAGCCCCAGCAGGTGCAGCCATCCAGAGGCCAGAGGTCACGGGGTAGTGGGAGCTGTCACCACTGGCAGGTTTATTTGGCCAGGGGCACCCTCTGGAGTGAGAAATAGGGCCTGTGCTCTCCCTCAGAGGCCTCCATTGCTAGAATCAGTCCTCTTTGGGCAATTGGGCAGGTGTGCTGAGCCCATCACATAGGCTGTTAGCCCTGCCCTGCTACAGTACCTAGTTTCCACCCCACATCCCAGTCTCTTTTCTGACAACTTTAGCTCCAATTATCACTTCCTTAGCCCCTAAGGGCGCCTTGAACCTCCCATCCACACGCCTCATGATCCACTCATCTACCTTTGCCCAAGTAACACAGGGCCATAAAGTCCCCACCTTCTGTCTCTTTAGTGGAAAGTGCCTGTTTCTGTTTCCATGGCGGCGTTAGACCACCACCTAAAGAGCCGTTGCCTTGGTCAGGGCCCGCCCCCTGCCTTCCATGTGTGCAAGAGGAGAGGACCACTTGGCTTCCGATGAGCCTTGTCCAGGGTGATTCCTAAACAAGAGAAAAAGCTGCAGGAATGGCTTGGGGTGAGTACCTTCAGAGAGGCCTCAGCACGGACAGGAGTGGGCACCTGATTACACCGAGCATCTGTGAGGGTAGTCTCCCCCAGGCAGCTCCAGAGACCCTCACCCCAGAAAATTGTTTTCTGAATCCCAACACTCCAGATCTCACTCTCTCCAGGTCTCTCCCCCAGGGTGTGTGGACTTGGACCTGTGGGCAGACGGATAATCTGAGCTCCTTCTCCATGCACTTGCAAGGTATGGGGTGCCATGATTTGATTTCAAAATTCATGTGCTATAAAAACAACCCTCAGTGTGTCTGTGTCAAGAGATAGGACCTGTTCAGAGTGATAAGGCTGGGAGTCCTCCTCTCCTGTGCATGCACAAATGATAATACCCTGGGCATGGGTTGCTCATTGCCAACTGAGCTCCCAGTGAAGTGATGTGAATGAGGAGACGGGACATCTGTATGAGAAAACGCTGAAAACCCTTTCAGGGGCAGCCAACTGAGCTAAACGGTACTATCAGTGGGAGAGATGAAGCCAAACTTCACGCTGGTCCTTTCCTGACCCCCACGACCCATCTGGTCTTGACTTCACTCTTTGATTTTGTTGCTTGGATATCTATACTGTTACCATTTTTCTGGCCCCATGGCCACTTCCCCAGACCAGGGAGGTCACCGACTCTTTCCTCAGTGAATGGACTCGATGCTTCCGTGCTGTCCCTGCTAGTGCCTCTTCTGTACAGAAGCCAGAGAAGCTTCTGGAAACTCTGGTCATGAGCCCCTGCTTCAAGCTCTCTAGGCCCTTTCGCTGACTCCAGGCCTTTCCCCCTGACTCCTGTTACCTTGGTGAGAATACGATGATTGCCATTACCGTTATTAAATTTTCCTTTTTGTTTTATTTTGTTTTCTCTTCTGCTTTCTGATCTGTGTCCCCCTTCTGCTCTATCTTCCCCTCCCCTTTTCCCTCTGTCCTCCATGGCCTGGAGAGCCATGTACTCTATGCATCTGTATTCTCTAACTGCCATTATAACATGATCTACCAGATAGAAAGTCTACCAGGGGGACTGGAGAGATGGCTCAGCAGTTAAGAGCACTGACTGCTCTTCCAGAGGCCCGGGGTTCAGTTCCCAGCACCCACATGGCAGATAACAATTGTCAGTAATTCCAAGATTTGACATCCTCTCATACAGACATGCATGCAGGAAAGACATCAACACACATAAAAAAAAAAAAATAAAGTATTTTTTAAAAGTCTATCCAGAAAGAATGAAAAAGAAAATGGATAAGGATGCCATAATTGTCACTACTTATTTCTCATTATGTAAGAGCTGTGGACCTTTTAGCCTGCTGAGCAAGGATCTGTTACAGAAAGATAGGTCCATTCTAGATGTGTCAACACAGCAGACTTCTAGGCCTTGAACGTTAGGATTGCCCTTCCACAGTGGTCATGAGTTCACCCCAGGAAAAGGAAGCCTATGACAATGGTGGCCTGAGAGGCAAGCTAGGATACAAATCTTACTTCTATCCCTTGCAGGGTCACCTCCAGGGTGCTGTCATTTGGAAAATGGTGATATCAGTATATACACCACATGATGTTTCAATAAGCTTTAATAGATGGCAAGGGTAAAGTCTAGAATAATGCTTAGCAATAGTCTTCATTCAATGGTAGCCTGTGGGGACTTAGGGCACCACTCCCAAGGGCAATGATTACTTGTTAGTTTGTTTGCTTGTTTATTCTGTGTCAAGATCTTCTGTAACCCCACCTAGCCTGGAACGTCTAACAATCCTCCTGTCTTTGTCTCCTGGTTGGTAGAATTATGGGCCATGGCCAGATAAAAGATATTTATTTGTTTTGTTTTTGAAACAGGGTCTCATGCCATAGTCCAGATTGACTTCCAGTTCTCAATCCTTCTGTCTCAGCCTCCCAGGTGCTGGGATTATAGGCAAATGACACCTTGTCCAGCTCAGGAACAGCACTTTGTGTTGTTTTTCTGAAACTGCCCATTTCTCCTCCACTCATCTAACTTGTGCAGGAAAATTTGCCTTATGTTAGAGGACCTGAAAGGGAGGAGTGCCATTCTGTCTTGGCAATAAACGGGGTCTTCTCTACACACCACAGCACTTCTGTGAGGTGGTGTGGTCTGGGATATGAAATGTCACCCTGTGAAAGCTTGGTTGTGGCACTAACATCTTTCTACAATGATGAGCCCTTAACTGAATGGGCTGTGAGAATGTGGGGCCTAGATGTAGGAAGTAGGTCACTGGAGAGGTCTTTTGATGGATAGATCTTGACTCCAGACCTTTTGCCCATTACCAATAGAAAGAAGTCTAAAAGCCAGTCTGTCCCTGAGAAGGTTCAGGACAAACAGGGGAGCTTTCACTAGGGCACAGTGTCATGGTTCTGGGTATGTGACATGACCATGGATTGGTTACCACTGTTCTGTCTCTGGCACAGCCATGTTTAGGGAACACCATGTAAAAGCCCTGTCCCATACTCACCTAACAGGTGAGAAGGGCTTGTAGAGGCTGTGAAGGAAGGCACCTAGACTGCTCACGAATGACTGTGTCTAACTGTATATTGGCCCCACTCAGCATCCTGGATTCCATGGCTCTAACAACTTAAATAATTTTTTTATTACAAAAGAAAGACCAAAACATTCCCAAAATTCTTCCATGGGTTTCCCCCTCCATGCAAATAAATAAGGCGAGGAAGACAGGACTGGAGGAGGGTTGGGGGTTGTGGTTCAGCGGACAAGGGAGATTAGCCTGGGCAGAGGTGGCAAGGGCACCCAGGTTCCTCCCCTAGGCCCAGGTACTGGAGTCACATTGCCTGGAACAGAGACCCCACCCATTGACAGCAAAGTCTGGGGCTATGTCTGGAGGGGTGTGGCCTTCAGAGAAGGTCATGTTTCAGGATGGCCAGGCTCGCTGTGGTCTTTCAGTTCTGGGAGGCAACAGGTCCAGCCAGCTCCCCACTGGCTCCTAGGAAATCTAGCAGCATCAACTGAGGTGTAAGCCCACCTCCGGGCAGACTCTCTTCATACTGTGATCAGTTGCCAACAGTGAAGTCACAAACCAGGCCTGAGAACACTGGAGTAAGCAGTCCAAAGACAGATGGAACCATCCTCCCTCTGCAAGGAGGTGGGGTGTGAAGCATCGCAGTGAGAGCTAGCTGGGTGGATAAAGAGAACCTACCTCTCCCTAGTCAGCTCAGTTCACAGCTCTACCACTATGCCTGGTCAAGTCTCAATGGTGTCTCCACTCTGGGCAGACGATGGAGACAAGCATCCTTAGGCCAGCCGCCTTCCTGGTGAGGAGGCATTTGGACCCAGCATAGCAGTTTCAGGAGGGCAGTGGCTAGAGTCCTTTCAGCTTCCTGTCCCAGACATGCCCAGTGGATGGAAGCTGCTCTCTTCCAGTAAGAGACGCCCCAGGCGGCTTAGCAGATGAGGGTACCAGTGAACCCCCTCACTTGGGGCCCCACTGCCCCATGCCAAGCTTGGAAGCAGTCTCAGGGGCCAGAAGGCCAACTGAGCCAGGTGGTGGTCAGCCACGGCTGCAAAGCAGGAGGCCACCACATCCTCCACCACCAATGTCCCATGCCTTGTGAGTGGAGCATAGGACCCAAGGGCCACATGGGTGGAGACAGCCGCCACCCGAGCAGGCTGCAGGCCTGGTGCTCCTGCTACCAGCACATATTGGCCTGGCTGTACATGGCTGGCAAATGTGGCCCGGAAGTGGGCTGCTGGTTCTGTGTGATTGTCGGCAATGAAGAGCAGGTGGGCAGGGGTCAGTGCCAGCCGACGTGGCGGATCCTGGGTTTCGATGACCTGGAAAGCTCTCAACCTGTTTGGCTCACGGTCCAGGAAAATGAGCACATCGCTGAAGGTGGGGTTCCCATCCTCCCCCATAGCCAGCACCCGGTCTCCTGGCTTCACAGCTGACAGGGCCACACGTGCCCCATTCTCTAGGCGCACCTGGGCTCCAGCAGGGAAACAGCCACCCGTCTTGGCAGCAGCCGAATGCTCTGTGGGTAGAAGGGACATGAAGGTGTTACTGCTGGATGACCACACTCCCAGGTTCAGTGCCCCTCTCCTAGCCCAGGGGAACTGCTCTTGTTCTTAGGTGATCCCCTTATCACTATGCCTCAGCCTCTGACGACCCATACCAACCCATATTATGATCCTCCATCCCTCTTTTCCCTGGCCCAAGCCCTGGCCAATGAGGGGAGCACACTGGGGCTCTAACACCAGGCAATGTCCCCATTTGGTCACATCCTGCTGTAAAGCAGCCAAGGGCTGGAGGTCAGCAGAGTCACTGGTTACTTGGGCTGACCCCAGGAATGCTGCTGCTTGTGGGAGTGGGGAGTTGCTTAGTTTTGCTGGAGTCTAGACGATCTGTTCTACCACTTCATCCAAAACTTCCACCAAGTGGGCCTCCCACACTGATGTTTCAAGTGCTATGCCAGAGCTGACCATTTGAGTCTATGGAAGGTAGAGGAAGGCCAGTCCATGGGGAAAACGAACTCCTAAAACACCCTCAGAGTGAGTGCTCAGAGGTGAGTTAGTAGCAAAGACAACAGTCGTCATTTCCAGTTCATGTGTTGGTCACTTATACAGGGACTGGATACAGTGGCATCAGAAGGTGGGATGGGGACAGTGTTTGGGGTCAGAAGTAATGAACAGAAGTGGCCACTTGGGGAGCTGACCTTGAGTCAGTGTGTTAGGTGAAGGTGAATACGATTTTAAGTACACACAGTTGGAAGGGTAGGGCTGTGGGCAGGAGCTGTTGGTAGGATCACCCTTGTGACCCCAGGTGGATCAAAAATACCAAAAAAGATCTAGTGCGCCAGTCTGTGAGTGCAACTGCTATATGGTCCCACCTAGAAGGCGGGGCCTGCAGCCAGCTGAGGCCCAAAGGAGAATCGTGTGATACATTCATGAGTGGGTTAAGTGTAAGTGACAGGGGACACTGGTGACACTGGGGATGAGGGGCAAGGCTCCAGTGCCTGCCAGTTCCGATCAACAAGGCGGCCAATCTGGGAAAATCCACTTTATTGAGTCCACTTTATTTTGGGCTTTACCCCAAAATGCCCAGCTTCGGGGCGCTGGGGAAGAGGTTGGGGACGCCTGCGCCCCACTGGGAGGTCTGATCTGCATCTGGGTGATAGGTTCTGAACCTTTGGGCTCCTGGTCAGGCATACTGATGTCTGGACACACTCTGGCCCCTAGCTCCACCATGTCTTGTTCTGTATGAACCTGGATGGGGAGAGGGGAGGTGGTGCCTGCCAGCCTGGCTTCCTCCATCTCTTCAACTTGTTCTGTCTTGCACTTCCTGTGGCGGTCTCTGGGCTGTAGACCACCACATCAGCACTCAGTGGCACGGGAATAGGCCCTGTCTCTCTAGGCTCCTGCCATGGCACTACCGGACATGGGAGGAGCAGGCAGTCCAAAGCAGCCGCCGCTGCCGCCGCCTCCGAAATCCTTTTCCCTCGGTTCCCCGCCTCCATCCCCTGGAAGCCATCTTCACCTTCTTGGCCCTAGTGGGCCTTGCGTTGCCTGCCCATGCCCTGCGGCCCCGGCCCCGGGTCCAGCCCCCCAGCAGCGGCTCACCCGACTTGACAGAGCAATGCACATGGGCCTTGGATTCGTAATACACCCAGTCGAAGCCGGCCTCCACTGCCAAGCGCGCCAGCAGTCCATACTTATTTCGGTCGCGGTCTGAGGTGGTGATATCCACCGCACGGCCCTCATAGTGTAAAGATTCCTCTGAGTGATGGCCATCTTCGTCCCAGCCTTCGGTCACCCGCAGCTTCACACCCGGCCATTGGTTCATGACAGAGATAGCCAGCGAATTCAGACGGTCCTTGCAGCGCTGCGGAGAGGACACAACTCGAGTTAGGGTGAGGGGCCCTCCCGGGGTGCAGGTAACAGACAAGTTTCTGCCAACTCTCCCACAGCACTTAAGTGACTTGGAAAACTTGGGAGGACCTCTGCCCTTTTCCCTCAGGAATAGAGGACTCTAAATGTGTTCTCCCAGTCTAGCAGTCAGGAGTCCCCAGGGAACTAGGCCACATAGTGGCGCCACATATCTGGAGGGCGCATGGAGTTACGCACCCCCAGGGGACTCCTCCCCAGTCAGTGGAGTTCCACTTGGCTCCCTCTCCCTGATTAGCGTTTGGTTTCACTACAAATGGAGCTATGCTTTTCCACAGTTTCTCCCGTTTTACCTAGGCACCAAGGCCTGAAGGGGTAGATCGGATCACTCCACTGCCTGCGGGCTGACCTACTAGGCATGCAAGGCCAAAGGTGCCCAGTAGGTGTCACCGCAGCCCCAGAGCTGAGGCCACCAGACACAGCCTTGCCAGCACGGCAGGTGCAGACCCGGCCAACGTGGGTCAGGGGGTGTGTTGGAGGAAAATTTCAGGTCTACTTAGATCCCTCCAGCAAGTGCCTCATAAACATTCCTTCTTTTGAGCCCACGCCTATCCACGCTTACCTGAAGATACGACAGGCAGAGAGCCAGTACCCTGCTATTTGACTGGGACAGAGTAACACCCCCCCACCCCAACCCCCACCCCTGCGCGAGGGACCAGGGAACTCTCACACCTCCACTAGGGTGCATTATCCCTGTTTAGGAAGGGACCAGAGAAGAACCCGAGCCTTTGATCTCAAACAAACCGGCTCTGAATCTTCAGGATCTCCCTTGAACAGTGTGGGGGTAGAGCTATGACCTCGGGACACGGATCATCAGTGGCAGCTGCCTCTTCAAGGGTCCTGGTTCTTCACCCAGGGGACCCTGCAGTTGACTGAGGAGATGGGGTGGAGTTCTCACCCGCGGGGAAGGGGCCCTCCACCGAGGTGAGGTGCTAGGCCCGCCAAGTATCAACCTACCTCTGCCCCACTGAGCTCGGGCCTCACAGACCCTTGGACTTAGCCTCCCAGGAGCCAACGGTGACTATAATCCAAGGCCTAGCCAGTCCTCCCGACTGCGCAGCCTGGCTTGGGGTTGCTGATCCCCCCAGGAGGTAGCTCTGCCATCTCCTTCTAGATAGTCGTGGTCCTGTCCTTAGATCTCATGTATGTCTGTCTGCCTTACTAGCCAGCTCCCGTTCGACTCTTCCCCTCTACCCCCTCCTTCTGGTACAGAGCCTGGGCGCTCGCTGTCAATGATTGCCCAGCCTGTGGCCCGGATCCTTATCTGCATTCCTAGGCGCCCAGCCCGGCCCGGCCACCGGCCAACCTTCGGCCCCGACATCGGCCGGCCGGCCCCGGCGCCAGGGCGCATGCTGAAGGCAGTGGTTTAGCTGCTCTTTCTCTAAAGATTTAGAATACGGGTAGCCTATTCACAGGGAACGGGCCGGTAGACCCCAGCGGAAAGGGGCGTATGTCTTTCCCAAGGCGCACCAGGCTTCGGAGGAGGAAGTGTGCGACCCTGATGTCTGGCGGAGCTGGGTCCTACTCCGCGCATGGAGAGATAAGTTAGTGTCAGTTCTGTTCCCTGCCTTCCTAGGCATCCCTAATCCTATTTCCAACCCTTCTTGTCTGTGCCACCAAACTCAAGGATTCCCCCAAGCTTGGTCTCAGAGCCTGGAGGCTCCAGCACCCCACCCTTTAACCGCAACCGCGCCGCTCAGCCCTCGCGACAGACACGTGGGCTTTCTCGGCTGGTTCCCTTTCCTACCTCTGCCTCCAAATTCAACTTTTCCCTGCTATTCCTTAAGCCCAGAGCCAGCCAAGACGCAGCTCCAGGAGAGGGCAGCGCAGCTAATCAAGGGTACATGGGGAGGAAAGGCCACGGGGGTCCCCGATGTCCTGAGCTTCTTTGCCTTAAGGGTGCTAAGTGGCTTTGAAATGACCAGGGCTGGGCTGTGAGAAAGGATAGGCCAGCGGGGACTGCGTGGTCCCCGGAGGCGCAAGAGGCAGCCAGGTTGAGATACCTTCCAGTGCCAGATCTGACTTGAACTGAGGGCTGAGGGGCGGCCCGCCAACCTGCTGAGCTGTGGGACTTGGCAGCAGCAAAGAACTTCTCTCAAAGACACGGGCAGGATCCGGGATGCCAGCACTCGCGCGGGATCCCTTGGCCAACCCGTCTTGGGCAGAAAGACACCCGGGATTCATGAGTGCAGGTGCCAGGGGGGCGTGCCAGGCAGTCGGGAAAAGGTGCCAGGAGAGAGGATAGGACCGGGCAGGTGGCGGTGCTTCGATAGCGCTGGGAGGACGGATCGCTCTCACCTGGGTCATGAGGCGGTCCGCACCGGTGTTCTCCTCGTCCTTGAAGATGATGTCGGGATTGTAGTTGGGAGTGAGCTCCTTGAAGCGCTCCGAGCTGCGCGCGATCTTGCCTTCGTAGCGCCCGCTGGCGCCCAGGGTCTTCTCCGGCACGTTGGGGCTGAACTGCTTGTAGGCAAGTGGCACGAGTTTGCGAGGAGGCCTCCGGCGACTGCCCACCACCCGGCCCGGCCCGCAACCCCGCGCCGCCGGCACCAGTAGCAGCAACAGCAGGAGCAGACAGAACCGCAGTCGGGGCCGGAGCCAGGCGGGAGACATGGCCGGGTAGCCCGGGAGAGCGGCAGGCGAGGGCGCCTGGTGGGCTGATGGGTGGGCGCGTGGCTGGGAGAGCTTCGGGGGGCTCAGGCGTCTGGGTGGCTCTTGGGGGCTCCAGGCGGGGGCGCCATGGGCAACGCGGAGCGGCTCAAGGCCGACGGGGCTCAGGTGCGGGGCGGGGGCCCGGGGCCCTGGCTGGTGGCGGCGTGCTGTCCCCCTCGGCGCCTCGACTCTGAGCTGCCCGGCTCGCCGGCCGCCAATAAATAGGCCGGCCCGTTTGTTTTGGCAACGCGGCGACGGCGGGGGGCGGCGGGCGGCGGGGCTGCGGGCCGCCGGGCTGGGCTGGGCTGGCCGGGCCGGCGGGCTGGAGAGACCCGCGGTTAGCACCCCGGCCCGGCGGTCAGGCGGCTCGGGCAGAGCGGGAGCTGCTGCCGTCTGCGGCACAGCCCGGGGTCGAGTGAGAGGGGAAATGGAAGAGATCCGGGCTCGGGGCCCCGCGCAGACCGCACCCTATCCATGTCCCTGCCTCCTGCGCGCTCGACAGCGAACCTGCAGCAAGGGCGGCACAGCCTCCTCCCCCTCGGGCGGGCGGCCCCTAGGCTAGCCAGCCCTGTCCCGCGCGCTCCTTAGCCGCGCGTCCGCCCGCCCGCTGCCCTCTGCGCCCCCTGCGCTACTGCCTGCGTTCGTCCTCCCCGCCCGGACGCGCCTCGCCCCGCCCTGGTCTCGCCTCCCGGTTCTTCGCGGCTCCGGGGAGCCCCGCCAGGCGCAAACCTCCTGGACAGGAGATGCCACCCCCACGGAGACCGCAACCCACGTCGCAGCCGGACACAAGGGGCGGGGGGCAGTGGCGGGACCGCATAGCCGCCTACGGTGTCCCCTGCGGAGAAGCCAACCCAAGAGCTGGAGGCCATTCATAACCCGGTGCCCCACCCTGGCCCAGGCAACACGCCCTCTTCTCAGCTTGGAGGAGCAGGGTTCTGTATTGACACCCCAAAATCCTATTCCTGCCGTGTACGAAACTGGGAAACGGGGGTGTGGGGATGCGGCCTTGTTAAGGGTCAAATGGGCTTCTGAGTTGGAAAGACTGTGCAAAGAGACAGGCCAAGACAGAACAGCTAAAATGGGGACAACCGCAGAGATGGGAGAGCACCGGGTGCCATGAGACAAGCAACGGTGACTTCAGGAGCCAAAAGGATCCAAAAGACACCCGCATAAAGGCACCTCACGGGGGTCACTCTATTCTACTCACAAATAAAAGAGGGCACGGGCTCTATAGAGGGAGTGAACGTGGGTTATACTTTAATAGGACATTCAAGGAGGCAGAATGACTTAATCTATGCTGCCAAAACAAGAAGAGGCACAAATCACCAATACAATGTCAAAGCATGTGTCGGTTGCAACATATTACACAAATTCAATAAAGTTAGAATTTAAAAGTTCCAGCTCCCCCCCCTTTCCCTCCCTCCCTCCTTCTTTACAGATGGAGTCTCACCTACATAATCCAGACTAGCTTTTAGCTCTGGATTCTCTTGCTTCCACTTCCTGAGTTTTGGTATTATAAGCGGGTACCACCATGCTAGACCTCTCTCTTTCTCTCTCTCTCTCTCTCTCTCTCTCTCTCTCTCTCTCTCTCTCACACACACACACACACACACACACACACATACCATCTGCCCCCCCTTCCCCTACTAGAGGAGATTGGATTGTTGTCGCTGATCTATATTTGAAGTTCAGGTCATTTGTTCATTTGAGACAGGACCTCATGTAGCCCAGGCTGGCCCCTTGCTATGTAGTTGAGGATGACCTTGAACTACTGATCCTCCTGTCTCTGCCTTCCAAGTGAAGGGTTTATAATAGTTAAATGATGCCACTACCCCTTGCTCAAGAGTCAGATCTCTAAGCACTAGTGTGCCCTGAGCTTTGGAATATAAACATTGTCCACTTCCGCCCCCTCCACCTCTTAGACAAAGTCTCACTATATAGCCCTGGCTGGCCTGGATCTCTCGGTGTAGACCTTGATCCTCCTGCTTCTGTCTGACAAGTGTTAGGATTGCTGGCATTCTCCACCACACCTAACTCCAGGTTCTTTGAGGTCAAACTTTAGCCTAACAGGTAAAGGTTTACTTCTCAAAGCTTGGAGTGGTAAAAATCAGTCAAAATGAGAGGTGTGATTGCTAGGCATGGGCCTAGCAAGTATCTCAGTGGTAGAAATAAGCAGGCACTTAGCATGCATGAGAACCTGGGTTCAATCCTCAGCACACATGACCCACCCACCCACCAGCAGCAACCTGTCCACAGGGGAGCAGAGAGGGAACTGGAGATTTTGCTAATTAGATAAAGTGCCTGTTACAAACAGAAGATTTGGGACAGGTCAGCCTCTTGAAGGGCACATACTTTCAATCACTGCACCTAAGGGATCAGCCTGGCTGAGAGAAACTCAAGCCCAGATAAGGGGGCCGTGCTCTGCAGGCATACATGATGCCCAGTTGCAGCTCTACTGAGTAAGTACTTATTATTTGACAATGATCAGCTCTTTAGAGACTTATATTCAAAAGGCCAAGAGTTACAGTCGGGAAGAATAGACACAAGAAGACAAATGGCAATGTGAATAGATTGCCTAGCTACAAGATCCTCTGAAATGATCCTCTAAAACCTATTCTTTAAGTTTTGTGCATGTGTATAACAGCATATATTCATATTCACCTGCTTCTATTTCACCCAAGAAAAGAGTGCTGGGAAATCATAACAGCTTGGGTTCAGTCCCCATTACTGAAAAACAAGCCTGAAGAAGGGTGGTGGGTTCTCTAGAAGTGACCTGGGTTTGAGTTCCAGCACCCACCACTCACAAATGACTGTAACTCCAGGCCCAGGGTATCCAACACCCTCTTCTGATTCCCATGGGCACCACATACATGTGATACATAGACAAACATGCAGGAAAAAATACTCATACACAAAAATAAGTAACTAAACATCTAAAAGAACTTAGAAAATGGTTGGGCTGCTGTGTTCTCAGCTGCTCAGTAGATGCAGGATGACTTCTGAACTGGACCAGTCCTTGAATGATATCAAACAGAGCCTAATGCTTTTTCTGATTATCACCAAGCTGCCAACATTAACACTAGAGAACTGAGGTGTGCTGTTCCGGGGGCAGCAATGGTCTGGACGATCTTGACCTCAGCCTCAGGAGTCCACATCAGTGATAGCCTCATCAGGGCACAGCACACTCCAGGCTGGGACTGGCTGGCAGGTTGCTCTCTTCTTTCACACTTAAATCTCATCAAAACCTCAATCATACCTATTTTGAAGAACAAAGAAAACTCTATTGCTTTAGAAACATAATTTCTTTTCTTGCCTACAAAAGTAAAAGTTAGAAAAAATGGGTTGCAAAGCATTGGAAGAGCTGACAAGATGGCTCAGCAGGTAAAGGCAATTGCTACCAAGCTTGACAATCCGAGTTTGGTTCCCTGGACCCACATGGTGGAAGGAGAGAACAGATTCTCACAAGTTGCCCTCTGATGTCCGTGCATGACACAAGCTATTTCTCTCTCTCTCTCTGTCTCTCTCTCTTTCTCTCTCTGTCTCTGTCTCTCTGTCTCTGTCTCTGTCTCTCTCTGTGCTGTCTGTCTGTCTGTCTGTCTGTCTAAATTTAATAAAATGCTTTTAAGACCAGTATGGTAATACATGCCTTTAATCCCAGCACTCAGGAGGCAAAGGCAGACAAATCTCTCCGTGTTCAATGCCAGCCTGGTCTACAGAGTGAGCTCCGGGCCAACCAGGGATGTGAAGTGAGAGACCTTGTTTCAAAAAACCAAAACAAAACAAAATGTTTTGAGAAAAGATTGGAAATACATCATAAGACCCAATAACATCTATTTGGTAAATGACCATGTTGACATTTTTAGTGACTCTCACTTTAATGCTTTAGTAGTTATAGTATATAATGATATGTACACACACACACACACACATATGTACATACACTTTTAGTCACATACACATATGAACTACATAGTGCTAAAATACCATTTTTTTTCTCACAGTTCTGCCATTTGTTTGACCAGGTTAATCCAGCTCGAAACCCAGTGGTGCTGGACCACAACCAGAGAGGTTCCGGGAGTGCACTTAGTCAAATGTGACTCAGGGCACAGCAGCTCTGGCCCAGCAGGAACAGCGCTAGATCTGGAGGGAGCAGAACATTGTCTTTGTACCTTCCGCTCATGTGACCTTTCAGAATTTCAGTTTTCTCATTCATAAGATGAGAATAATGCCAGGCGTGGTGCTCTGTGCCAATGACCTCAGCACTTGGGGAGCCGAGGCAAGAGGACCACGAATTCCCAGCTAGCAACAAAGCAACAGCCTATTTCAAAAACTCAAAAACAAGAATAGAAAACAACTCCTACCTCATAGAGTCATTGAGAGGATTGAAAAATAAGCAGTCAAGGGCAGATGCTCCGCGTCAGCTGCTTTTATTCTCTGCTGGCCTCACCAGGGGCAGTCGCCATTCTCTGACATCCGTACTCTTTCTACTGAGAATAGTTAAGGATGCTGGGCTTTTGTGTGTGTGTGCCCTAATAGCAGTGGTCATTAGCAGGCCCTGAAACTTTCTTTTTAAAAAATTGCTAGTGTAAGACAGTCAGTGGTGGTGCACGCCTTTGATCCTAGCACTTGGGAGACAGAGGCAGGCGGACCTCTGAGTTCAGGGCCAGCCTGGTCTACAGAGAGAGTTCCAGGACAGCCAGGGCTACACAGAGGAACCCTATCTCAAAACAACAACAAAAGTTAGTTGTATGTGTGCAATATGTGTATGTTGGCAAGCATATGTATGTGTTCATATATAAGAGTGAGTGCACCATGGTGTACATGCATAGGTCCAAGGGAAAGTCTAAGCTCTCGTCTTTGCCTTGCAGATTGCTTAAGATTGGGTCCCTTGGCTGTTTGCTGGTGGGTACACCAGGGCAGCTGGCTTGTGAACTTTCATGGGTTTTCCTGTTTTCACCTCCCAGCTCCTTATAAGAGCACTAGGGTTATAGATTCGTGCAGCCATGAGCGTGAGTATGTGCATTCTGTACATTCAGAATCAGATCTTCAGCCTTTTAAGGCAAGCCCTGTATTCACCGAGCCACCACCCCATCACCAGGCCCTGTATATTTCTATTAGAGGATGTCTACCTGGACATGGTACTGTAATAGGCATGAAGGGAAAGGGGAGGCAACTGGTAAAACAGAAGATGTCACTTTGTCCCCAGAAAGTTATTATTTCACCCTTACAATAAAAGGCAACTATAAAGGCACAAATGCTGTTCCTAAATGAGCACAGGGAAGAACATTATAAACTAAATGAGTTAATAGAGAAAATGAGTTTCATCTAGAAAACCTCCCGAGGAAAATCAGTTTTGAAGGAGGGAAAGGAATGATAACAACGGGCGGACAAAAAAGCCACTCAAAGGTGCGGGACAAACAGAACGATAGCCCTGGTAATGATAAAGAGCCAAGCGACATGACCTAGGCAAGGGGACCTTCACAGACACCTTGGGAAAGCTGACACCATTATCTTAATTGTATAGATGGGGAAACCATTTACGAGAGGCGGACAGTCTGGCTCAGACCTTGCACGTGAGGAAGTAGGAGTTGGAACTCAAACCCGTGTGACTCCACAATGGCATGCTTTCTTGGTGAGTGACTGACTCCCAGGGTAAGCATGCTAGGCTGCTGACCTCTATTCCAGTCAGTTCTTTTTTCTGTGCAATCTAGAGAACTGTGTTTTCCTTCCGAGGTCTGTTACCTTAAGCTTTTGAGCCCTCATACTTTAACTGGTTGGGGTCACTATGACTCCTCTTT